TTACCTTCAAACTGGTATTCTAGCGGAGTTAACAATCGCCCCTGCAATCATATAGGCGCACAGCATTCAAGCATTTGGTGATTGAAAATTTGAACCCAAACTTTGCTGGAAAAATGGTTCTTGAAAATGTTTATAACTGTTTTATGCAGAGTTGATATATTTAAATATAAATACATAGGTACAGGTACAATTATGTTCATTGGATTTGTCAATAATAATATTGGTGGAACAGAGTTCACTCCACGGTTCAAAATGCAATTACTGCAAGTATAAAATAATACAAATATGCCATATTTCAGCATACAGAACACGAGTGTAAAATTATTCAACTTGACACATTAGGGTAAAAAAGAAAATGTACCTACTCGACATTTGGATCGACGTATTTAACTACATTTATTTTATTTTTAAAAGTAGGTATAATTATATTAATAAATTACATTTTAAGACATTATTATTATAAAATAAAAAATGTGTATTATTTATTTATAAGCTGCTAAAATGTTACAAATATTAAAAAAATTGCTTACAGTGCTACTAACCTACAATGCACGAATTGTGGGGGGGAACGTGCAAGCCAGGGGAGCTCTGCTCTCCTTAGCTGAAAGGCAGTTAGTGACAGTGTGATAGTTTTGAGAAAAATGACTTTTTCTGAACTATCCATTTTTATCACGATATCAAAATTAAGTAATAATTTAATGATTCTTAAATGACTTTCGCTGTAGAATCTAAGACAACTCATTACAAAACTGAACGCAGTACCTTTAAACACTTCAAATCGCATATACGTATTTTTTGCTTAAGAATATCTGTGCAAAATGCTGTCTTATAGACATGCCAATGACATCTGTTGAGTACATGTGAAGTTATTAATTAGGGGGTAATAATATTATTAAGATATACATTGGATACTATTGCCCGGTTAAGCAACTTAAAAAAAAATTAATGTATAAGAAGTTAAAGTATAATGTGTAATAAAATTACCATACAGTAGACATAAAACATCATAATATTATTATATACATTGTATGTTAGCTTTCAACATTTTTATAACATACTTGTACATGTTGAATACACATCCATGAGATATTAATTCAGAAACATTTATATAATGTAGATGTGACTAGCGAGGTCATATAAATTCTCTAGTTTAAAATTGTATTAAAAATAAATATCTCTAATATAGGTTCCTAATTAAAATAAATACGACCCAAAATGTTTATACAGAATACCTATGTGATGTGGCCCCAACATTAATTCCCGACTCCCAAGAAAGAAACTTCGGAAAAAACAGCGGTTTTATCAATGTTTTGTGAAATTATTTTATGATAAATTATTATTTATATTGTTCAATTTATGTATTATTAGCTAAACAAATGCACACAAATAATTATTTTAGTTGATTTTGTCATTGATAAAAGTATACATAATTCCCTATACTTATAGCATTTAATTTGAATACATATAGGTACATTTATTTAAAACTGTATCCATCGATTTATTTTGTTATTTGTATTTGTTTAAGAAAGAGTATTGCTGAAGTTTATATGAAAAAAAGCTAGTTGAGTTACTTTTATTTTCTACTTGACATGTTCATGCGTGTAATAACTGTTATAATATATTATCATGATATCATTAAACGGATACAATTATATAGATATTAATTTATAATAGTAAAATTAATCTAGGTAGCTGACGTATTTAGTTTAAACGCTTTCGGCCGCTTAATTGAACAAAAATAATATTATAATTTTATACTCACAACAATTGTATGGCTAAGTTTCAAAATAGTGTTCATAAAAAATATTTGCAGATCGTAAATCGTACGATCGAAAGCAATTTACTCGCCAAGTGAGTTACGTTCTTTGCAGGTGATATATATCATATCTGTTTTGATATTCACTCGCAGACTATACATTTTCAAAACGTTAGATAGTGTGAACATACAGTGTACGTGTATATATGAGCTAAGTTACCTATAATATATAACTATATATTTATGGTAATATTGTATAACTTGGTCTTGGGACTTCTGTGTTAGGTGGTCCAGTACTTCACACCTCAATAAGTGTTGTACATTCTCATGAGTATAAGCAATACATTGTATATACAGTAACTATTAATATTATAATATTCTCTTTGCTCCGTCAACAAAGTACCATCAATAATCTACTTTAATTAAAGTTCTTCTATAGGTAATTTGGTGTTCTCAGATGTATCTCCATTCTCCAATGGTAATTACAAAGTGATTCTAGAAAAAAACTCACATTTTGGGTATAGACACTATAATTCAACTTATAATATAATATTTCATGTATTATAAGCATATACCGAAAATGTGGGTACTTCTTATAACCGAGTGTTTTATATTTGTAAAGACACCTGATAAAACAGTTTTGAGCAGGTTTTTTTGGGTCCTGAGTGAAATGTTGGCAATTTACAGATTTTTTATTGTGATGCGTACCAATTGGATACGATACAATACAATACAAACCCTACCGTTATACATTGCAGAAAAATTATGGATTTTGGTACCTTCAGTTTCCAAGTATCTATGGATGGGCATTGGGCACTACTAATCGTATTTTAATAAACACAACAATATATAATGATATAAATCCCCATATATATCCCTAGGTATAAAACATGTCAATCTTTTTTAAAGCAATACAAGAACAAAAAAAAAAATAATTTTCAAATTTAATATTTGAGATCAAGGTAATGTATTGACATGAGTTTCCGTGCAGGCACTGTCTGCTGGAGCCAAAAATAATTAGCAAATGTTTCCAGCCTATTTATAAGCTACAGCACTTATAAGTTATAAGTAGAGACAGGCTTCAATTGATATTTCCCCACTGTTTACACACAAGATAAATCAGATCTAATCAAACATTATGTGAGGTACCTAAATATCTGAATTAAGTATATTCAGCATATTTCACTTCGGAACGTAGTTTTTATTTGTGTAAACATATTATAATATATATATAATATAATATAATATAATATAACCTTAAATAACCTTATTAGGAAATCTATTTAAATACCAATTTCAATACAAAAAAATAACGTAGATAATTTCTTTTGTATTAAGTAATTTTATTATATAAGAGAAATGTATATATTTTGTATACATTTTACAGTTTTATAGGTACGTTCTGTAATTTCTTTTTTTATAACGTATTTTTGTGGCTCAATACTATAGATGTAAAATACAGAAACAAACAGGTCGCGAAATAATACGTGGATTATTATAATTTTTAAAGATTTTTAATTTGTATGCAGGTGTGGAGGTATAACAACAGTGATAAAACATTTCCAACCTTATACATTAATGCTGGTTTAGAAATTATTGGCATAATGTACTTGCTGGATGGCCATAAAGTGGCCGATGAGAACTACCTTGGGTTCATTTACAACATACTGGCCAATGGCGAGATCGCAGAACTGTTTGCCGATGACGAAATCAACAAAATAATTCAATCAATACAAAAAATATCGAGGTTTGGAGATCAAAGACGGAATGGGTCGTATCCATTTAATGTAGATGATTTGACAATTTCTCTGAACACTCACATGATCACAAGGTGCCAATAATAATGAGCAAATGCTGCAAGTCTCCGGCCCTGCTGAAAAATTACATGGTATTAAAATTACGGTTTAAGATATACTTTAAATATATATATAAACTATACAGTATATATTTAAGGTGTATTATCTTAATCTTAAATAATTGTTTGGACGGAAAAATAAATACTTTTTTTTTGTATTACAATTAAGGCTTCAACTACTACTAGTCATTAGCCAGGCGTACTGTGTGGGGGGAACGCTCGGTTGGAACACGTATGTGTGGCAAGGATTTTATTGCTAAAAAGAGCGTTTCCGCAGATTGAGTGTACGACCGTGCCACCTGTGATAAAATAAATATTTTGTAGTATATTTTCAATATAATAGTAATATTTTATATCCATAGCTACCAATTTAATAATAAGCAAAAGCATCGATTGATCGAATTCGAAAAAAAAAACATTGACTCTGTCAATTTATAAAGGTCTCGTCATAGTTAAAAATATTTTATAATAATATATATTAATTATGAAGTTTTCTACTGCTTGCATAATAAGTGCTTCGATAGGAATAGGATGCGTTACAGTCTGGTACTTGAAACGCTGTTCTCGGCTGGCCACTGAACGCAATCCAAAACCTCCAGCATGCTCCAAACAAGTGGATTCTAGAGTAAACTGATACTATTATTTATTTTTGAATTTATTATATATCATACTTATTGTGTTAATATTTTTAAAAAAAACCCTCAGATTCAGTTGAATGGTATTGTGGAAACCGGCACATGGGGGAGAAATTACGGACACGCTAGATCTCTAGAGGTAAAATGTTCAAATGGATAAAACTAATTTAAATTATCCATGCCATGGCAATAATAATTACAGTATCTACTGTTCTAAGCATTTGCAAGTGCACAATTTACTTGGTTATTATACAAGAAGATTATCTTATAGGTCGTTGAAGCTGTTATTGGTAACAAAAAAGGATTTACACCTGAAATTAAGATATTGAAGTTTTCAAATACAAATAATGCTTTAGATAATTTCAACCTGGATACACTTGAGCTATTGTGTTCTAAAGCAGCAGAATTCAAAACGATTGATTTTAGTGCGCGTTGTTTTCATACACCAATCCAACAAATTTCAAAGTTTGGAACTCAAGAATGGAAAGGTCAATTTAATGTGGGTGATTTGCCAGTTCCTCTGGACGCATTATACCTGGAAGTCAACGATAAACTTACTTTTAATAAGCTTAGAAATCTCTTTGGAGAGATCATGAATGGTATTACCAACGATTGTGGTAGAACGTTATGTCACGTGAATACAAATCTAGTATAATATTAAAAATGACAATAGTTATTGAAAATATTTAGTGATTGTATGCAATTTATTTCTAGGTTAGACAAGTTTTGGATGGCATACCTATTATATTTCCAGAACCGTCTAATTTAATGGATATGATGAGAAAGGTTGAAGAACAACCCCCATACGTAATCGTTTCATTAAGAGAATGTGTCCGTATGAATTGGTCAATGAACGAAATTAGAAGCTCTTTAAAAGATCTACCTTCAGGATTAAAGGTACATACTTTATTTGTTTAATTGTTTAAGAACACTGGATATAATAATCCTGTGCGCAATTGAGTGACATCAACATCTTTGAGATATTTAATTTAGATCTCAAATTATGTTGCCATAAGAACATCCATAAGTAGGCCCATTTAAATTGACTATGTGAGGTTATAACTTACCTATAACATTAACTACGATGCGATGTTTCGACAAGCTCATCAATTAATGAACTATACACAATAATAGATTATTCACCCAATGAGCATCGAGTATTTTTGGGCCGACACATAAGGCTCACATGGTGATTTCAATGTGACAAAAAATTAATTTATATTATATTTTTTCCAAAAATATAAAAAAAACCCGAATACATAGTTGATACAAACTGCAATAAACGATTAAGTCATAATAGGTGAAAATTGAATTTGTCGGTGTGTTTGTCAATCATTTTCTGTTGGTTCTTCAATTGTACCATTTGTATCGTTGCATGTGCCTTCGCGTTTCATTATATATTTAATGTGAATCTCTGTTTTAAAACAGTGGAACGATGATGTCTGCAATCATATAAAATATGACGATGAAAACTACCTTGGGCTCATTTATAACATGCTGACCAATGGCTAGATCGCAGAACTGTTTGCCAATGACGAAATAAACAAAATAATTAAATCAATACAAAAAATATCGAAGTTTGAAGATCAAAGACGGAATAGGTCGTATCCATTCTATGTAGATGATTTGACAATTTCTCTGAACACTCGCAGTATCACAAGGTCAAAAAATCTATTCCAAACGAAATTAAAAATCAAAATCAAAAATTCTATTCAATCTTTAATATCGAGAAATGAAAAAGTAAGTTGAACCAGTAGATGTAAGAAATAAGAATCAAATTTATTGAATATATTTATTGATGGTATGTTATTGTTTCTAGATTAAACAAGTGTTGGATGGCATACTTGTTACACTTCCAGAACCGTTTAATTTAATGGATTTGATGAGTAAGGTTGAACTAACTCCTTACGTAAGTGTTTCATTAAGAGAATGTTTCCGTATGAATGGGTTAATGAACGAAATTAGAAGGTCATTAAAAGATCTACGTTCAGGATTAAAGGTACATAATTTATTTGTTTAACGATTTAATAACACGGGATAAACAGTGGACTGCAGAAGATAGAAATCATATATGAAATACTGCTGTCCCGTCACGGCGTTACCCGTGTATTATTTAGCTATATAAAAAAACCCCTTTTACCCTCTTAGAGGTCTAATTTTGAAAAATCCTTTCAAAAATAAAAAATAATAATATTTACTAATGATTCTATAGTTATAATTATAATTTGTTTAGTTAATAACGTTTATCGCATTAAGTAAAGTATTATTATTTTTCGACAACGCAATTCGTATAATTGAGCTGTTCGGTGTTGTCTATACAACCCTGAACTTAATAAAAATGTTATGTTAGTTTGTAGTTTAAAATTTCGACACGTATTCCTGCGTCATAATTATTTATAGCGGTTGCAGCCATTGTACGTACGATCGTCAGTAGACAAATTAACTATCGTAGTTTCGTGTCGAACAGTATACATTATCAGGTAGGCTATATCTACCTGCAGTAGATCGCGGACCCCACTAGGGGCACACTCTATATGAATAATATGTTTAATTTTAATTTTATTAATCATTTTGAATGTATATATACATGCCGATGATCGGCTATAAGTGTAACTCAGCCAACAGCCACCTTGTTAGGCAATGCACTAAAATTCAATTATCTGCCCGATTAAAAAATGGCAACCCACAAAATTCAAAAAAAAACCAAGTTGTACTAAAAATTAAGAAAGTTGCGCGATAAATTAGTTATTAATTAATATAAACATGCACATTTTTTACCTATACACATATTATTGTATGGAACAGCGGCCCACGGGTGACTTAAGTTTGTTGAACATTTTAAGCGTGATTGCTTAAACGTATAACCATGATGAACAAACACTTATCAAAAAAATTCACTATACAATTTCTCATTAATCTTCCGAATGATTCCACTGTGAAATGAGCACTAAGAAATTATATAATATTAACGGCTTTATACTTTTAAACCATAGATAGAAGATAGATGGATCTGTTTTAAATGATAAGCGAAAGGCGTGATGCCTCGACTAAGGGAAATTGGGATTTATTTTTATACACATAGATAGACATAGCTAGATTGTAGAATTTTACTTCTCGGAACAGTTCATATCATCTACACGTCGATCAAACTCATAGTAAGACGGACAAAAAGTCAAAAAGACAAAATTGCTGGTGCTATAAAATAAGTATATAGTTTTACAATTAGTAAGTCAACAATTTATTTTTGACGATTTTCAACCCTTTAAGTGATCCAATTTAAGCTTTTAAGTGATTCCAATATTGATGACTTGTAATGATTAGAACATAGTTCATATTTGTTACGCAGTATTTCATTTCACATTTTTTATTATATTTTTTTTTCTATTTATTATATTATGCTATAGTGTTTGTAAATTTTAATAAAGTATAGGTACAAATATGAACAATATCTCTTTTCCTTGAATTAAAATATTGATAAGTATATAATATTTATGAATCCGTTCGCTAAATAATTGTTGTTACTAATTAATATATGCTATATAAATATTATATATCAATGTGAATGATATTTAAAGTTATTAAGCGGGTATGTCAATACATCAATATATATTTATAACGTTTTGAAGCGTTGATTTCCCGTGTGTTTTTTTTTTTTACTTCTCACGATTATTGAATTTCACATAATCCATAAATGATATTATCTAATATTTAGGGTTTAAAGTCAAGAACAGAGAACTCAAAGGCCTTAGAAGAATGTTTGTTTTTGGACCAAGTGCCACGTAGCTGGCAAGAACATGATTACCCGACGCTATTACCTTTAACAGCTTGGCATCGAGAGTTAATGAATAGAGTTGAAGAGCAATTCCTCAAGTTTCAAGTAAACTATAACTTATCAATACTATATATATGGAAAACGATTAAATAACATTTTGTTAAATGAAAATATAGATTGAAAGACGTAATTTAGTGTCACCAGGAAGTCATCAGTCTGCAACTGCTATAACATGTACCCAACAAGATTTTAAGAAACCGACTTCGGTCCGCAAGGTAAATATAATGTATAATGAATATTGTGTAATATTTTCATTTTTGTATTGTTTATTTATGTACAAAATGTATGGCTGATTTGTACATGGGTGGCTAGAGATTTTGGTAATCGGTGTGTTGTATAGTACTGCATCGATTTTGTATCTATTTCGTTGAGTTTGATTTTCTACACCGAAATTTTCTTGTATGGAGAGTATTCGTCTTAAGTTGTAGCGCATAATGGGTGGACTGTGTTAGTGCCTAAACACCGTTTGCACATATAAACCTACATACAAAAATCTCGGTTGCCCTTAATTAAATTAAAGGACGTTTAAATACTTGTTTGCGTTCAGTTACGTTATGAATCAATACATATTTGTCAACAATGCGTAGTTCAAAAATATATTATATTACATTTAAGCGACCATTTTCATTTTTGAATCACTGTGCAACGTGGGGAAATTTAATTTCTATATCAGCCGTGAATCGACATACCTACACAGGTACATATGTATATTGTATAATCATATCTAACTTATGTCTGTGAAGATAGCTGCGGCCATGGACTAAGATATAGTGGACTGGCATCTATATGGCTGGGGAGTAGTAGAGGAAGGGTCCCCAAATGTTTAGACACCGCCACTC